CCGCCTGGGCGTCCTCGAGTGCCAGTTCCAGTTCCGCAGCGAGCGCTGGAACTGCAGCCTGGAGGGACGGCCCAGCCTGCTCAAGAGAGGTACAAGGTAGTTGGTGTGCAGGGAAACCCTGGCTGAAGCACCCGGGGTGTCACAAATTACATCTCACACGATGTTGTGGTTGAGAAGGAGACAACGCAAAGCAACATGCTCCATTTTCACTTTACTCAGATAAACAATGTCATCATTGAAATAGGCAGTTGAACTTTATCTTATCCTTCTTTCTTTCTTGGTTTCTATGTCAATGACTTTGGTAGGAAATTCTTTTGGGGTAAATGTGGATCCTCTCATCCACCTCCTCTCTGGCTCACAGAAGTCACTGTAAAATCTCTTCCACCGTTGGTGTCCAGGGAAACTCTGGACACAGCCCCTGGGGTGTCCCAAATTAAATCTCACACAAGGTCATGGCTGAGATGGAGACAACACAAAGGCACACGCTCCATTTTCAGAAGGCTTCATTCAAACTCTTTTATTATGGCATGCATGTTTTTTATACATTCTTACAAAACTCATAAGTTTACACTTATTGGTCACCAGAGACAAAGAAAGTGCTTATTGTAATAGGCAGTTGCAGGGTTCTCTTATTTATCCTTCTTTCTTGGTCAACAGCCTTGGTAGGAAGTTCTTTCACAGGTAAACATGGATCCTCTTCTCAGCCTTCTCTCTGGCTCACAGAAGTCACTGCAAAACCCCTGTTGGTGTCCAGGGAAACTCTGGCTGCAGCACCCAGTGTGTCCCAAATTACATCTCACATGAGGTTGTGGTAGAGACGGAGACAACACAAAGCAACGCGCTCCATTTTCTGAAGGCTTCATTCAAACTGTTTCATCATGGCACGCAAAGTTTTTATACATTCTTACAAAACTCATAAGTTTGCACTTTACTCACTTTACTCAGACAAACCAAGTGCTCATTGGAATAGGAAGTTGCAGTTTTCTCTTATTTATCCTTCTTTCTTTCTTGGTCAATGACCTTGGTAGGAAAGGTAAACATGGATCCTCTTCTCAAACTCCTCTCTGGCTCACAGAAGTCCCTGTAAAACCCCTTCCACAGTTGGTGTGCAGGGAAACTCTGGCTGCAGCACCCAGGGTGTCCCAAATTAAATCTGACATGATGTCATGGTAGAGAAGGAGACAACAAAAAGCCACACTCCATTCTTAGAAAGCTCATAACTATTCAAACTGGTTTTGCAAGCTGCATGCTTTTTGTATGTTCTTGCAAAGCTCATAAATTTACACTTTACTCAGACAAAGTGCTTATGGGAATAGGCAGTTGAAGTTTCTCTTATTCATCCTTCTTTCTTTCTTTCTTGGTTTTTATGTCAAGGAGCTTGGTAGGAAGTTATTTCAGGGGTAAACATGGATCCTCTGGCTCACAGAAATTGCTGTAAAACCTCTTCCACCATTGGTGTCCAGGGAAACTGGAGTGTCCCAAATTACATCTCACACAATGTCGTGGTAGAGATGGAGACAGCACAAAGCCACACTCCATTTTCAGAAGGCTTCAAACTGTTTTTATTATGGCATGCATGCTTTTTATATATTCTTACAAAACTCATAAATTTACACTTTACCCACTTTACTCAAAGTTCTCATTGGAACAGGCAGTTGCAGGTTTTTCTTATTTCTCCTTCTTTCTTTCTTCGTCAACAACCTTGGTAGGAAATTTTTTCACAGGTAAATGTGGATCCGCTTCTCAAACTTTTCTCTGGCTCACAGAAGTCAGTGTAAAACCTCTTCCACCACAGGGTCAGTTAAAAAAAAATCCCTTTAGTGCCTTAGATATTCATGTATGTAAACCCCTGTTATTCTCAAATACAAAATTTAAACCTGTTTACTATCTGCATGCAGACATCTCAGTGCATGTTGACAAATCTCTCCTAAGACTTTTTCCCATAAATTTGGAGAAATTTGGGCAGAGTGGACAGAAGACCCACTGGGTTTTTGTTTCCCAAAATGCTTCAAATGAAGAAATTGTCCTGTGAGGTCTGGATTTGAGGTAGAAGGGAACATAACAAATCCTTCCAATGCTTGCAAAAAATACAAAGAAGATGGACACTGAAATTATTTCCTAATAAAAATTGCCAGAGAATGCATATAGGGTTTGCCACACCTGTCCTGATCCAACCAGAGCTTGACTGTAACAGAGCTTCAGCCCTTCAATAACTTTTATTAGCACTTACTAAGCTTCAGCCTTCAGATTTATTGAGTTTCTGTCCTTGGATAATGTTTAGCAACTCAATGTTTTTAAAAAAAGGACCCAAAGAAGCCAATATTAATTTTGATGAAAATCAATGCTAATTTTAATTAACATTGGGATCGAAACTTTTTAATGTTTCCTTTTTAAAATATCAATTTTTATTACATTAAATATCAACTTAATATTTTATTAGGTCACCACATACAAGGTCAGATTTTCTTCATTGCAAGGCTCTACTGTGAATTTTTTAGCAAGCACTGGAAGAAGCTGTTCATGATAATTTTGAGTGTCTGTCTCACATCTGCGCCTTCATCAACCTCAAAGAACTTGAAAATGACAATTGAATAATCCTCATCTTCAAATAGCTGGAAAACATTTAATTATCTGGCAGTGGCATGCCTTAACATTTCCATGGGCTCCTGACTGACAAAATAAAATATCACCTGTAATTTCAAACCTGTTTTGGCAGATGGGGATAAGTGTTTGAAAACTTTTATTACACAATCTTAAGGATCAAATGATGATTTAATACAGCCAGGTATGCTGTGTGCAGCCCCTGTGTGACAGGACACTTAGCTGGGAGCAATTATTAGTTCTCATTTTTCCTTTAGCTTGCAAAGGGGTTTGTTTCTTTCATAAAGAACATGAGCATGGCTTTCAGCTGCCACTTTTGATCTGTTTGTGACATTTGTTGGAACTTTCTTGGAAATTGTTGGTCATGCAACTCTCTCCTGTCACCCAGGTAAGTGATGAGGCATTTTAGAAATTTTTAAATCATTTGATATCTCCATGCTTCTGGGGAAACCATGAAGAAAAACACAGATTTTTAGCAGTCTTAAATGCTCTTAAAAGTACAAGAGAGTAGAAAAGGTCCTTCCCAGTGAGATGGGCCAGGTGAAAAACCACATTCAATTTGCAATCCCAACTGAAAAACTTCTGTGACTGATCTGGATCATCAGTGCTTTTCCTGCTTCTAGAGATGCCAAAAACCAAACAAACAGAAAATAAGTAAATAAACAGAAAATAAGCCAAGGGTTTTCTGGCTCTTGAAATGCCAGATTTGTTTTACCAGTCTGCATCATTTGTTGCTCTTGATAGTTCTCTGGGTACAACTGGGAAATTCCTTTTGCATTGTCTGCAACACTTCTGTAGCACTTATGCCACCTCTTACTCCTCAGTGATCCATGGAAAATCCTCCTGCATTCCTTCTCCACTCCTTTAAAGATGCATGGAAATAATTAAATGATTTCAAGCCACCTTATTACACAGGGGCAGTTGGTGTCTTTATAAAAACATGGAAAGCAGTGATGCCCTTCTGGTGTCCTGGGTGTGCTGGGAGTCAGGAAGCAGGATTTCATCTCAAACAACTCAGTGATATGGGAAATAAATACCTTTAGCAAAGAGGTCAGAGCCAGCCACTCACAAAATTATTCTTGAGAAATGAGTGCTCTGCAATCCTTCCATCCCTTAATCCCCTCCTTTGCCTCCTGCTGGTTGGACTCTGACCTTACAGCAGTGGTTTCACTGTTGTCCTGAGGAATCCAGAGCAGTGGTGACTCATAGACACAGAATTTCCATGATGGGAGATCTGGAGAAAAAAATTGTTCTGAGCAAAAAAAGCCCTGAGCAGCTGGCATTGGAGCCAGCCCTGCTTGGAGCTGGAGGTTGTTCTGAAGACCTCAAAAGTCCCTCCATCCTAAATCTTTCTATATTTCTATATCTTTTTTTAGTTTTGCTGTTGTTTTCAGAGAGATGCCTCCTCGACCTGCTCTGAAACACTCACATTCCTTCACTACAGCATTGAAAACTCTGACCCTGAGCATCTTTCCTCTGTCAGAGTCACACCACAGCAAAACTCCTCCCATTACAAATTTTCCCTGTGGTCTGGAGCACACCACAGCACACAACAGTGTATTGCAGCAAAGTCCTTCTGTATTTATAGTCTGCAGAGCAAAAAAATCCTGCTGGAGAGCTCAGGGCAAGGCTTGGACACAAGGAAGGTCCTACCAGAGGGAGCCGCTTTGCTGCAGCCTCCTGAAATCCATCTCTGTGCTGGATGTTGGCAGCCAAGCTGCCCAGCAGAGACATCTGCACCCAGATGTTCTCCTTGCACTGAGAGCTTCAGTTCCATTCTGTCCCTGACAAGAACTCAGTGGGGTCAGGGCAGTAACCCATCCCAAATCCAAGCTCTGAGAGCCCAGAATTGGCTCCAGGCCCCAAGAACCAGAATTGGATCCAGGCCCCGAGAACCCAGAATTGGATCCAGGCCCCACTGCCTGGGGTGACAGGAGCTCTGTTGTCACTGTGGGAGGAGAAATAGCAGGACACACGGAGCAGCCTCTGTTCAGCTCCCACATTGTACTCCTTGGAGCTGATTGCTGCCATTTGTGGTGTGTCCTCCTGAAAATCCAGCTCCAGCAGCTGCTCTGCTGAAGGACAGCTTTTACTTCCCTCATTAGTTTTGTGAATTAACAATTAAATGGTGATTGATTCCTCATGGCAGAGTGGAGGGAATCATCTTAGACTTTCCAGACAAGCCTGGTGATGTTGAAGCTTTGTTTGAAGGAGAAAGGAGACGTTTCAGAGTCTGCTGGGTATCTGCAGTTGCTGCTGTCTGCAGTGGCCTGACCACAGCAGCGGCCTCTGATTTCCAGTGGGCTGAAAACTGGCCAGGAAAACATGGGGAGACCAAAGCATCTGAAATAGCAAGGAGCAGTGTGGTGATCCACAGAGTCAGATTTAGCAGGGGCTGTGGGGCCTGCTGGCTCCTCATGGCATGGGAAAGGGCCTCTGGAATGTTCTCCTTACCTCTGGGATGTCAGAGAGGGTGTTGGGAATCTGGTAAGCATTTGGAATGATTCAGCAGATTTAGGATCTCAAGGATCAGTTATCCTCTTAGCTCCTTTGGAGAGGGTCAGGCACTGTTGGAAAATGTGTGAGCATCATGCTGCCATCCACAGCCTGCATTGGTCACGTCCCATTCCAGCTTTTACAAAACCTTTGGTGGATTTGGTGACATTCTTTCATTATCTTTAGAGTACCCTGAGAAATTTTGTAGAGGATTATCAGCCAGAGAGATTAATTGCAAATTATTGCCCCAGTGGTTATGGCAACCAAAATGTTGAGGCAGGAAGAGATTGATGGTTGATCTCCTTGTCTCCTCCATATTTTCCCACCTGTCCCCTCATGTCCATGCTGTTGGTAGATCTTTATCTAAAATTCTGCAGTTCCAAAGAGCTCTGAAGTCACTAATGAGGCCTCTCCATTATGTTCATGACTAGCCACATTTTTCATTCTTCTTGCTGGCAACCTTTGTCCTGCTCTCTTGGTCATTTTTATGGTGGACATCACTCAGATTTCAGCTCTTTGTCCTGCTCTCTTGGTCGTTTTTATGGTGGACATGACTCAGATTTCAGCTCTCAGTGTTCTGATCCACTGTTACAGCAGGATGGGAATTCTCTGAGGGAACAGAATTATGGAGAGATTTGAGGTTGGAATTGGTGAATTCTAGAAGTGGTTTCCAAGTCTAGGTCAAGTCTCTGTGGTTGTCTCTCTCTCTTCCATTACTGGGGAAAACAGATTTTCCTTCTGATGTGGAAGGAAATTTGGAATTTTCCCATGTGGAATATGTGTTTGCTTCAATATGTTTTCTTCCATGCAATGTATAAGTGCTCCATCTTCCATAAACCAATTTTTTCTATTTTTGCTGATCTTATCCATTCCTGCACTCAGAGCTATTGATCAGTCACCTGTCTCTCTTTTCCTTGCACTAATTCCTAAATTTTAGACTTGCTAAACAATTTCCCATTAATAGTGTTTTTTTTTCCCTGCAAATGAACTCTAGAGGAAATATTAAGATTTGCCCTAGGGCTGAAAAAGAGAGGAGGTAAATATAAATAAATAAAAATATTTTGGCATCCAAGACTAACATAATATTACATTTAAGCATCAAAGCAATAAATCTCTTATAACTGGCATTTTCCTGGGACCCAACCAGATTTTCCCTTCTTTCCGTTAATTTTTAGTAACTGTTATCTTTTGCTTTTTCCTGTCCTTGAACATCTGCAGGAAAAGGGGGGTGGAACCCCTCCTCTCCCTTTCTTTCTTGGCATTATATGATAAAGCCCCGATCTCAGCCTTATCAACGAGTGATAGTCCGGATAACTCAGTCCCTCTGGGAGACAGAGTGCCCGAATACCCAGTCAGCTCGCAGCCGCTGCAGGCTGCCCTTAGCAAGCTTAGTGATTCTCAGCTCTTTGGTGATTCTCAACTCTCTTAGGATTTCAGCTCTTTGCTTGCTTGCTAGGGTGCCTTTGGCTGAGGCAGAAGCAGATGTGGGAGAGGAGGAGGGGTGGTGGTGGTTGTTCCGCGGTGGTTTTTTTTTGGGGGTTTTGGGAGGGTTTCCGTTGCCGGTTTTTTTTTTTTTGGTTGGGTTAACCCGGCCCTTTTTATAGGGTATAGGGGGATCCAAACTTGTCCAATAGTAAGGGTCAGGGAAAAGGGACCTATGAGGTTACAGAGATAAGCTAGGAGACAGGAGCTTATTTTGCTGTCTCATCATGACTCAGCAGTTCTTGCTGTTAAATCTCAATCCTCCATGGCGCTCTGGTAAGCTCCATAGAGTCTGCTACAGCGTTACACCTTCCAACTCTTTTATTATTTCCAAATATTAATTACTGCATCAATACTGATTACCATTGTCAATTTTGTCAGCATGGATCATACCTATTTACCACAACCAGCAACCCTTGTCCGCTGCAGGTTTTAAGGAGACAGCCTTCCTGTACGCCGTGTCCTCGGCGGCGCTGACGCACTCGCTGGCGCGGGCGTGCAGCGCGGGGCGCATGGAGCGCTGCACCTGCGACGACTCCCCAGGCCTGGAGAACCGCAAGGCCTGGCAGTGGGGCGTCTGCGGGGACAACCTCAAGTACAGCACCAAGTTCCTCAAAAAGTTCCTGGGCCAGAAGAGGATCGGCAAAGACCTGCGGGCCAAGGTGGACATCCACAACACCAATGTGGGCATCAAGGTAGGAGCTGCGCCTTGGCGGGCTTGGGATCAAGTTTGGGACTTTTCTTCCAGCCCATCCTGTGTGTGAGAGGGATTTTCAGTGCCTTGCTCACAAATCACTTTTCACACATTCTTCACCTGTGTGTCTTGGGCCTTGTGGTGCTGAGAGTCTCCTGAGCTCTTGTGTGAGGAGATGCATGAAGAGGAGCATCCTGTGTCCTCCAGTGGTCCCAGGGTGGGTGACAGGGAGACAGAGCACGGTGACAGCTGTGAAACTCCACAGCTGGATGACTCCAGGGGTGATGCCAGGTCCACAGGGGGTTCTGAGAACAGCTGGAGCTTAGAGCTGGTGGCATGTGTGAAGCAGATTAAAGACTGAAACTCTTGGGATCAATTATGAGTCTGCTGGTGACTTGCTATGGAGCGAGTCCTGTCACAGGGAGATCATCAGATTGAACATTTTGAACTGCAGGTTACAGGCTACTGATTCGTCATTGTCTTCCATTTACTGAGTCAAATTGATTGTTTAATTAGAGCACTGTCTTAATTTGAATACATCTAAAGGAATCCACCATGTTGGAGATACTCAGTTTTATGATTGACTACTCCTACTGCGCCAAATAGAATTATTAAGAACTTATTTGGTGTTCAGCTGGTTATCCTCAGGCTATCCACTCTCTGGCTCTCCTGTCAATTCTGTAGCTTTTACTCTGCTTTGGTTGGTGTGTTTTGTTTTTTTTGTTTGTTTTGGGTTCCTTTTTTTTTGTGTTGGTTTTTTTGGGGTTTTTTTTTTGGGTTTTTTTTTTAGTTTTGTTTTTTTGTTTGTTTTGGTGGGTTTTTTTGTTTGGTTTTTTTTGTTTGTTTGTTTGGGTTTTTTTGTTTTGCTTTGTAAAAATTATTATTGACATTTTCTCCTCCATGCCTAGAAACAATGCCAATAAAACTGAAGTGCTTGCAGCTGCGATCTGAGCTGCTGCCTCTACCAGAACTAGGCCCTGGCAGGTAATAACCACCACTCTTCTTCCTCACCAGGCGGTGAAGAACGGCCTCAAAACCACCTGCAAGTGCCACGGCGTGTCGGGCTCGTGCGCGGTGCGGACGTGCTGGAAGCAGCTCTCCCCTTTCCACGAGATCGGGCGGCTCCTGAAGCTGCGCTACGACGACGCCGTCAAGGTCTTCAGCACCACCAACGACGCCGTGGGGCACTCGGAGCTGGCAGGGCCACACAGACACGGCCACTCGGGCAAGCAGCCTGCCCTGCCTCGCCCCACCGACCTGGTGTACGTGGAGGACTCACCCAGCTTCTGCAGGCCCAGCAAATACTCCCTGGGCACCGCGGGCAGGACCTGCTCCCGCGAGGGCAACTGCGACAGCATGTGCTGCGGCCGGGGCTACAACACCCAGAGCCGCCTGGTCACCTTCTCGTGCCACTGCCAGGTGCAGTGGTGCTGCTACGTGGAGTGCCAGCAGTGCATGCAGGAGGAGGTGGTCTACAGCTGCAAGCAGTAGGGACAGCCCCGAGGGGTGAGGCGAGTCCAGGGGAGCAGCAGAGGGACGGGGACATGGCTCTCTGCTGCGGGGTGAGGGCAGAGGTGAGCACCAAATGAGTGCTGTGCTCCTCCAACCTTGGTGTTGAGATGCTCCAGCCTTGGTGTTGAGATGCTCCAGCCTTGGGTTGAGATGCTCCAACCTCAGCATTGAGGTGCTCCAGCCTCAGCATTGAGATGCTCCAACCTCAGTGTTGAGATGCTCCAACCTCGGTGTGACATGCTCCAGCCTCAGCGTTGAGATGCTCCAACCTCAGTGTTGAGATGCTGCAGCCTTGAGTTGAGATGCTCCAGCCTTGAGTTGAGATGCTCCAACCACAGTGTTGAGATGCTCCAACATCATCATTGAGATGCTCCAGCCTTGGGTTGAGATGCTCCTACAAACCAGCCAGAGTGCAGATGGGCTGGCGCTGCAAAGAACACGGGAATCCTAAAACTCAAACCCAAATTCACTGGCAGTCTAAGGGGTGAAGATACTGGTCTGGGTAGCAAGATGGGCTCATCCACAGGTGGAATTGGGCTGAATTCCAGTAGGATGGAGCTCTCCTCAGAGGTGTGGGATCTGCCTGTGTGGATCTGCAGGAGTGGGGCCGCTCAGCCACTCTTTACAGCTGCTCTGAGCAATTCCCCACAGTAAGAAACATGTTCTCACACTCTCTTTACCTTGACTTTGTTGCCCTTTTGGTTTTTACAACTGTTTTTGACTTCTGCTCCCTCCAGTGCTGGCACAGAGCAGTCTCTGAGCAGATCAAGCCATTAACTGGATGTTTGGAGGCCACTTCCCTCTCACCAGCTACAGGTCTTTTAAAGGCTTTATTCCTTTTTATCCCTGTTCTGGCTCAAGTTGACTTGAACTGAATTAAAGAGTTTATGACAGGCATAATACTGCAAATAGGCTTAATTAGCCTTACTTTTTTTTTTTACCTCCTAAATACCCAAGAGCAGAACCATTATTTATATGTTGCTTTTAATCCTTTTGGAGTTGAAATCTTCCCACGAGTCTCAATTTTGAGCACTCAATGAAAAAGCTTCCAAATAAGCTAAAATTGGCATTGTGGGTGAAATGAGCAGGGAACTTGCTCTGGTTGAACTATTGATCCCAAACTCTCTGCCCCACTGACCTCCAGCCTTGTCCAGCACCAGAGAGGGAGGGAATATCCCAATTTGGGAGGGTCCTTTGGGATCCCATGCCATTACATGGATCATTCCCATTTAAACAGGGACTCAGTGAAAAGAGCTGGATCCCATTCCTTGGGAAGCAAGTGGAGGAGACACCACTCTGTCCTCTTGCTCTTATCAAAACTGCACAGGAATCACTGAATAAGAACTGGACAAAACCAAATTTCAGGGAAAATTAAGTTTCTTCATGTACCAAAGGGGACTTTTGGAAATTCTTTGTCCTGTGTGGCTTAGAGCTGCTGGAGAAGATCTGAGGAAGAGATGGTTCATTCTCTGGTACCCCAGGGTGGGTTTGGGCTCAGTGGGGTGTTTGGAACTGGGCTAGAGTGAATTTGGGCTGTTCACTGTTAAACCAGATCTGGACAAGGACATCTGATGTCCCCCAGCTTTGCTCTGCTAAACTCAGAGCCCCCTTCAGCCCCTCCTGACACTCCTGTCCAACCCCTGCCAGGCAGCCCAGCCTCAGGGGCTGGAGACCAAATGATGAACACTGATGGGAAATAAATAAATAATTACAAATGCCCAATTTGAGGACTGGGAAAAGACTTGAGCATAGTTTTAGTTTGAGGAAACACTGATGTCAATCCTTTTGGTGTCCTTCAGCACTGAGTTTTTAGAGATGGTGCCATGAATAAGGGAGGGACAAAGTTTGCTTGGGACAGATATTGTGGTGGCTTTGAGGTTTTACTTCATTCAGTGTCCAGAGCTGTTTTGTTGGGTTGATATTCCAAATGTGATTTAATTCAACTGACAACAGTGGGAGCAGGAAGAAAAACTTGGGTCTGTTTGGCTCTCAGTTTTCTTAGGCTTGAATTGTATTTTGCTCTGAACCAAGACCAAGCATCATCTTGAGCAAAGCTCTTCTGCCACCTCCTGGAGATCTGGGCTGTGAAGATCTGGAAGTCCATTTGGACTTTTTAGTTGTGCCACACACCTTACAATGTACTGCAAATCCTGTGGATTTGGTTATATGTGTAAATGACTGGAATGACAAGGGGATTGCATTAGGTCTTGACAAAGTAATCTCCTCAGCAACAAAGCTGAAATCTCATACCCTGCCTATAAAAAAACCCTTTTTCAAGTGCAAATGTACCTCATTGACTACTGATGGTAAAAGTCTGAGCTGCACAGGCTTTGCTGGGAATGTTTTGGTTTGGACTGAATTTTTTCCTCTGCACTTAAAATCCAAATAACCTGAGAATGACCATAGCTCCAAACCAGGGTCCTCACTGCACACACAGGGGCTACACTGCTCACACAGGTTTGTCCCTGTCCCTTCCCAACCCAGCTTTTAATACACCTCCTGGTGTGTTGCATTGCTGCCACCATCCATCCATCCATCCATCCATCCATCCATCCATCCATCCATCC